ACTACAATAACTACACATGTACAGTAATGTTGACATTAATTTTAAACTTTTATAAAGACCATTAGGCCTAGATGTAAAAGGAACACGATCAAACCTATAGCAGTTTGTACAGTTATCTCCGACACAGAAACGCTGTCAATCAATAAACCCAACTGTTCGTGTATTAAAGCATATTCCAAAATCTGACATTTCTGAAGATTTCTTTGAAATGGAATACTAAATAGCCAAGTTCCAATGACGATTACTTACTCCAGACATCACAGTCTGTTTTCCAACCAATGTATTCGTATATAAGGCTTTGACTAAATCTGCAACCAGATAAGTATTTTCCATTTAGGCCTTTGATCAAAATAATGTAGGATTTTCAGCTACTTTACGAGAGTTAGTATCGAATTGAATTTCGAATTTCTGCTTTGATTTTCATCAAGGTGTTGGACATATATTATTCAAAATTCCTTCAATCTATCCTCTCTTCAAGGGTTTCTAAACATGCGCTAGAACTGTGAATAGACCGAACTTTCGCTACATGAGAGAAGGCGCGGGCTCAAGCGTTAATACATGTATAGTAGTCGTTACGAATATGTTGAGCTGCATGTACATCTATTAATCTCACCAACACTACTTTTTCTAACACAAGCCAATTGCTCAAAGAGATACAGCGAAGGAATACAGGGCTTCCGACCATACAAAATCTACAGCCAAATATTTTTTAGTGTAAAATACACAGATTAGAAAAAAAGCTCATCTTACAAAATGCAAACAATGTGGAATACTGAGCGCAACAAGCTTACAATGTTGCAAAACTGAACAAAAAAAGCCGGTTAAAGGCTGAAAGAGTCCCTTTCACAGCTAAAAAGGTTGTTGCGAGAATTTAAGCACTACATTATCAAACATCAAGTCCACGTTTGCTCCAAGTTTAAAACATCCGAAAGGGATCGAGACAACTAAAACATCAGGCCCCTATTAGCTCTATCAAAGCCTGCAAGATTCTTCAAAATGCAGCAGGTGATGGACTTTGTCGGACTGAGAAGTTAACACGCAACCTGCTGCTCTTTGAAACTTCAAGTGTTTTTTCTGAACTACGTGTACGGAGAACTTGAGACGGTTCCTTGAGAGATGGCAAGATTAACTAGTTAATGTTCAAAAAAGACTTCGAAGGAAGCAAAATAAGCAAGTTATCAACACGACTCGCGAGTGGAACACAAAGCAGAATAAGACAATTCTGCCAAACCCGGATAATTCAAAGGTATACACAGTCTTAAAATTGCAAGGTGTGGCCATGGTAACTGAAAATATGGGTTACAACTTATTTTTCTGGTTTTCTTTGACCCCTGATCAGGAATAATTTGTAAATTACTTTTCCAAAAGCAATGAACAGCATGAAAGTCAGTGACAACAGCTTTGTTTTACAAGTACGATTTGCTTAATTTCTGTACAGTTTGCATGAATACACACAATTGAAATGATGATACATATTCAAGTGAGAGAAGCTATGATACACACTTTACAACCATTGCACCGATTTGTCACTTTGTTTAGTCTTCTCTGGGGTTCTCGCATCAATATCGGACACATGTCTAAACCCTAACAACGGTTGGGCATTTGGGGGGGGGGGGTCATGGGGGATCTCATGTCCGATTTTGTTGAAACTTGGCAAGCATCTATAGACACTCATTGTGAATACATGTATGTCCATGAAGTTTCGATTTTTTAATTCAATCTGAACTGTGATTGCTTCAAGTTCTGGAAAACCTCTAGTAACGTCTCGCGACCATTTTGACCAAAAATAAAAGCAATGCAACAATATCAGAGAAAGGTCAAAGGGGTCAGACCTCCCCCTTCCCCATTTAGCCAGACATGCTAAACAAAGCGTTGCCCTTTGCTTCGCCTGGAGCTTCAAAGATTTACTGTTGAATTCAGATGAAATCACCGTCAGCCTTTGCCCTTGAGCGAGACAAGCTGATGTTCCTGCAGCTGAAGAAAAAAAGCTGCAGCAAAGAGCCTAAAGCTCACAGGAGTAAATTCCTGAAGCGACCAGAGGATGACAGAGTCAAATCTATGGTCTGGGATATCCCAGTCCATGTATTGGAGGAAATGAAATGTCCACGAAATGATCACCAAAGGGTTTGATCATGGCCCCACAGCTGTGTGGGGTCTATGATTGCTTAAAGGCATCCCTTACAATACCCATTTCTTGTGTTCGATATCAAATGTTCTGTGTAAAAACAATATATGGATTTTCCCATTGCTAGAAAAATTATGAAATCAGAAAAGTCCAAATGAAAAAATCCTGAAATCAGGAAACAATTCTGACAAATCTCACCCCGACAATGTACCGGATTTCCAGGTTTTTTTCCTACCAACTGTTGCTCAATTCAGGATTCAACTCTCTCTCACACAAATGAATTAGAATTCGTGTTCATGAGGTATAAAAATGTGAATACATTTCACATGCTAAGAGCCCAAGAATATTACTTCCTATAGTATTAATTACATGTACATGTGATTAACATTGTCATCTACTACATGTATTTACATCAGAGCTTTAAAAAAAATTCTATTTCAAAAATGAATGCAAAAACTATAGTAACAACAAGAAGTACACCACAGTTAAGGAAATTCTTCTAAAAGCCCCGAGAAGGTCCAAAACACTTTTAAAAGGAGTTCATTTCAAGTCAAAGATCTATTCAAACACAATTTGAAATTCATGTGCATCTATCTGAAATGATACTTTGGAATAAATGTTAACAAAGCACCTTAGCACGTTAAGCTTAGTCACTGAATTCCATTCAAGATCTTTCCGTCGACAGCAGAGTGATGTATATGTATGTGTACACCACACAACTCCCATGAAAAGTCACCTGCAATGCATTGCAACATGTAAAACAGTGGCTTCTGCTTGCGTTTGCTGACCGATGTCCCTCAATCCATCATCCTGTATTAACCAGGCTCAACAAGGTACTGCAGTCTCTGGGGACCCCTCTAGCGTACTGCTCGTGGAGATCCTTAAGTATTGGCAATGAGAATTTGTGGCATCGTGGAGCACTTGTGCTCTCTCTTGTCACCAGGCAAATGAAGTGTTTGATGGCAGCATAAACGTTGATTAATGGCGCAGTGTTTTTCAGGGGCCAAGAGCTACCCAAGGTAGTCCAAGTAAGGAAACCCAAAGCATTGTGGGTGGCTTATGCTGACGATTCGTCATTTCAACAAAATTTTACCCAACAACAGCCCCCAATGCAACCAGCTGTCATTAGCAATCTTGGTTTAGATTGCAGGCATGAGTGAACTGCAGCGTGGGCTACACCCCCTCACCACCACCAGTTTGTGAATGGGGGGCAAGTTAAACCCGGCGTAAAGGCACCACTGCTGTGAATACTCCATGCCAGAGAACATGAATACGTCAGTTTACCAAGTTACAGACAGGCAACGGAACAGATCTAAGAGTACATACTTACAAAAATTACAACTTGGCACCAAAGGATCTGTCTTCAATTTCCAAATATTCATAAATGTTAACAGCGGTACGAAATGGCCAAACATAAAAATGTAAATGTATCCGAGTTGAAAGTCTCTTCTGATATTCAAAATACTAAACTATGAGAGGGCGGATGAGTGGGAGTTGCTATTCACTCTGGGCCAGTAAATATCAAATGTCAAGCTCAGACATCTCAACTCAAGACATTTACATGGTATTTTAGTATACAATACACAATGTGCAGTCTAGTTGCCATGGTTACCACTATCCCTCATTTGAGAAGAGATATCCGTGGGGAAACGTTATGAGAGCTGTTTGTCCGCCAAGTTTTACAAGAATATCTCAAAATGATCCTTTGGAGAGACCTTCAAAGACAGCTACGCAGGAGACTCGTGTGAGGAAGTGTGCATGAACATTATGTGTACAAGACACCTGACACAAAACCTGCTCAGCATAGTGCATCTATATGCATCTGTCAGACTGAACTGTGCAGTATAGCCTGCACATTAATGCACACTGTGCAAGTAAACTGTGTACATTTCAGATCGACGGGGGTCTTTGACAAAGCTTGGTGGCTGTGAACATACCAGTCCCATGCGACCGTTCCACTAATGTTTGCGTCACACTTGAACTAATGTGCGCATGCTCGCAGTAACACATACAGTAGCGGTCTGGTCACATGGGCAGTATGACTGCCAGCATCCAGTGTCTGTATAGTCTCCTA